CCCTACCTAGTAACTGTCTCTCTAGATCTACCTATCCTGGATTTCATAGACAGAGAATCGTACAAAACACAAACAGGAAGCAAACAAACCAATAAAGAAAACCCAACAATAACGACTAGACAAAACAGGAAAACCTCAAAGAGAAAGTCAAAAATATTAAAAACTAAAACAACTTTAAAATGGATCAAAAGGGAGAGCAAATGCTAAGGTGTTACATTTTAACCTAACCATAGCAGCCCTAGTCCAGTTTACAATGTACTCAGTCTGATAGCGAGGCTGTTCATATCCCTGGACTGTATCGTCAGGGGATTTACCAGAGACGTAATATTAACCCTTGGAGGGACCCGGCTAATGGATTCTGGGCTTCCACTCTCATCCATAGCTTTCTGCAAACCAGATGTTCCGAATTTAAGCTCTGATCCTATTTCCTCCTTCGGATTTGGATTTGGGTTTTATTAGCTCCTGGAATTTCTTTCTTTTCTTTTTCTTTAATTTTTCATTGTTTCTTTGAAAACAGTAATATTCACATGGCTCACAGTCCAAACACAGTATGCACTAAGGGAGCTTGACTCACCGGTCCTTTCTCCCCTCACTCCCTCAAGTTCGCCGCTTTTATTAGGATCTTGTTTATTCTTCCAGTGCATATTTTTTTAAGGTAAATGTGATCAAATACATATATTATTCAGGCATTAGGCTCCTAACTTTAAGGTCAGCAGTTCAAATCCACCAGCTGTTCTTCAGGAGAAAGATGAGGCTGTCTGCTCCTGTCAAGATTTACAGTCTCAGAAACCCAATCTGGGATTGCTGTGAGTCCGAATCGACTTGATGCAGTGAGTCTGGGGTTTATACGTTATAGATGAGCCCTAGTGGCACCGTGGCTAAGCACTTAGCTGCTAACCGCAAGGTCAGCAGTTTGAGCCCACCAGCTGTCAAGATTACATCCTTGGAAACCCTGTGGGGGCAGTTTTGCTCTGTCCAATAGGATGACTGAGTGGGCATTGACTCAGTGACAATAGCTTTTTAGCAGCTTAAAGAGAGTCTCTGGGTGGTACAAATGGTTACTGTGCTCCGCTGCTAATCAGCGGTTCTCAACCTGTGGGTCGTGAGCCTTCTGGGGTTCGAACAGCCCTTTCACAGGGGTCGCCCAATTCGTAACAGTAGCAAAATGACAGTTATGAAGTAGCAACGAAAATAATTTTATGGTTGAGTGTTCACCACAATATGAGGAGCTGTATGAGAGGGTCGTGGCATTAGGAAGGTTGAGAACCACCATGCTAACTGAAAGCTTGCAGGTCAGCGTCCACCCAGAGGCCCCTCCAATGATAGGTCTGGCCATCTGCTTCCCAAAGACCAGCCATGAAAACCACTGTGGAGAACAGTTTGCTTTGACGTACATGGGCTATCAGGGGTGGAGCCGACTTGATGGCAGTCGATCTGGTTTTTATACGTTAAAGACATTCACTTTTTTATGAGTGGCTATTGTTTCTGTTTTTGCATTTCCCTGCTTATCTGTTCTTTAATGTTGGTTCCTGTGCTTTGTGACCATTTTAAATGTAAGCTGGTTATGCTGTTAAACGTTAGACCTCTCTCTGGTGAGTCCGGTCTTGTTATGAAATCAGTCCCTCTCCTAGAAGATAGAAATAATTATTTCTCTATATTCCCTCCAAGCCCTTTAATGGTTTTACCTTTTAATCTCTTAAAACATTCTCCATTAGACCTTTGGTCTTCGAAGGAAGCACATTCTTAGGGGGCAATCATCCAAAGATGAAAACAAAATAATTTCCCATCAACCCCTGTCATTTTCACTTCCCC